ACACACACACACACACACACACACACACATATATATATATATAAAGCAGCACCTGGGAATGTAAACTAATATGTTGTGGGCCAGCTGGAATTGGGATAGCCTGAGCTGTACCTGGAAGACTGTAGGGGTATAAGAATCCTGCTTGTGCTTTCCAGCCTGAGGCTAGATGATCCCACAAGCAAAGCTTCTTGTGGCCTGGCAGGCTCTCTATGCTGCCCCTTCAGCAGGGAGTGGAAGGCAGCTTACTGTGAGTCACCAGGCATTACCTAGGGAGATGCCTTCATCCTGCACAGTTTTAACCCACTGTTGGTCTTAATTCATGGCTGTACAGAGAAGAGGGAACCATAGAAGGGAGACAAAGCTAATAATCACTGAGCCCCTGTCCACAGCATTTTCTTTTATCCTCTCTCATTGCATCAGCTGAGGATTGTCTTTGATGTACAAACAAAGATAATGAGGCTGAAGGATAGTGCAGGGTCTCGGAGTGGTCGAAGAGCAAGGACATGGAAGAAATCTGCACTTAGTCATTTCAATGCTCTCCTTTTGGAGAAGACTCAACGCTGAGACTTCATTATGTTCAGTCTCATTTTCTTTATTAATCACATTTATTTTTGCAATGTTACCAAGACAGCATTGTGCATCTTTATTTTTCCCAATATTTTTAATTAATTAAGACTTCTGTGCACTGTTCTTTGATCAAATTCAAACCCTTCCAAAACTCTTCTCACATTCATCAACCCCAACCCCACTCCTATTGCTACATACCCGAGTTTGTGTGCTTTAAAGTAATGCCCATATTCTTGGTGCATGGCCTTGTACTATAGCATCGTTGGCTTACCGGGGACTGTGCATGCTCTTAGAGAAAACTATCTCTTCCTCCTCTAGCAGCTAATACTTGGCAATAACTCATCAGCTAGGTATGGGACTGCTTACCTTCATCTTCTGTGCTGAAATTTGGTCTGTCTTGGGCTTCCACACACCTTGTGCATGGAAGACAAGATCTATCTATGGAACTCAGGTGGTTTCCCTGAAACTCACAATTCTCCTCGCTCTGCTTCTGGAGTATTGGGATCACTGGAGGCTGTCACCATGTGCATTTTAAACCTGAGGAAATGGAGCTGCAGAGATTGACTTCCCTGATAAATGTTTCATTACCTTTCATGTGAGTGTCTGCTAGGAAGCGGAGAGTGGACCATGCTAGGCCTAACAGTCTCCTGTACAGCAACAAATTTTGCTGTCTGTTTCAACGGGTACACACTACATTCTTTGTCTACTGAACTACAGGGGAGGTAGTACAAATATCTGGATCCTTTTTGGAAAGTTTTTACAACATCATGATGAACACTTTCTGTGTATGAGTCACAGGCCAGTACTGTGTTCCCTTCTCTGAAGTGAAAAAATAAACACTGTGTGGCTTGAGTGAAATTTTAGCTAGAAAATTCTACTTGAGCAGAATTCGAGGCTATGGGCAGCTCAGAAAGCCAAGAACATAAAAGGCTAGGCTCCTCTTCACTCATGAACTGTGATAGACAGGGGTGAAAACAGAAGAGTACTTTCTTCTGATTTCTCTCTCTTCGAAAGTGGTTGACATGGAACTTGGTAGACTATTCTCTGGTATTTGTTGAATGTTCAAGAAATGAATTTAAGGCAAAGAGTTGGTAAATTTAAGCCATGAATTTTAAGATCTCTGCTGAGGCCCCAAATCAGGTCTTAATTGCTGATCATGCAGTACATATGGCTCCATATAAAAATCACGAGATTAGGTCTGGGACTGTGGCTCAGTGGTTCAGTGCCCGCTAATCTCTCATAAAAACCCTGCATTTCATTTATAGAGCTGCCAAAACATAAAAATCAAAAAAGATGAAAAGAAAAACCCACCCTCTGACATTAGACAAAGAGACACCTTGTTGGTGTTTTTCTTATATTGATCAGAGACAAAGCAGATGACAGTCCTTTGCTCATCCTAGCTTCATGCATGGCTTGGTGGCCAAAGCTGTCTTATGCCTAGGACTGATAAAAAAAATGAAATCAAATCCAGGCACCACTGTGCAGGAAGAGGAAGACAGACAGCCACCTGTGGACCACCATGCTATCCAAAGACATGTCCTCCAGTGCATGGCCACAGGACACCCACAGCACAGATAGAGGATGTCACCCAGGGGCTGGACAGCTGTTTGGCCAGCATTCAGCAGGAGTCACCACAATGTCCTAACATGTGGTGGTCAGATGGGAGAGAGAGAGAGAGAAGTGGAATAGCTTGAGCATCGTGAAGAGATGGAACTGAAGACTCAAGGCTGGAGAGGAGAAGCCTGTTGTGAGTACCCAGCCCTGTCACCTGGAGCCATGGTGAGGTCCCATCCAGAGCTGTCACTGTGGGCCCTGTCTGAGTCTGTGGCTATGCAGCTGCACAGGTCAGTTTCAATGCCTATGGCTCATATTATCTCTAGAAAACATGGGGCTGTCCCCAGTCAGGGCACCTTCCAGGGACCACCTGGATATCCAGGAGCTATGCAAAACTGACCCTATCCCTCACTCTATGCAGTGCTCGGGAGAGCTGGCTCCATCTATCACTGGAGGGCGGGCAGCACTCAGAAGAGCAGGCCCTGCGTCACTCAGGCACCACAGTGGAGAGCTGTTCCTGGCAGCAAGGTTGCAGGTGAGCCAGCCTCAAGGCAGTGAGTGTGGGAGAGCTGACCCTGCCACAGCACGGAGTAGGGTGATCTGGGCTGTAGAGGGTGGGATACCCTTTGTCCCCTCACCTGCTAACGCCTGAGGAAGTCAGGACAGCTGACTCCAGGGTCATGAGAGCATGTGAGCTAGGCCTGCCCCTCACTGGCTGCAGCACTCAGGAGAGTGGGCTTTGCATCTCGCCTCAGCAGCACAGTAGGTCTTACCCTAATTGAGGCGGTACAGTGGAGAGCCAGCCCCAAGGGAGAGAGCACAGGAACCTGCCACTCGTCTGGTGTGAGGTGGTATGGGTGTGGGGGTGATGTCCTCTCCCTCCCCTGTCTCCTTCTGTGCAGTGGAACTGCCTATGGAGGCGTGGGTGCAGGTGAGCTGGCCCTGAGGGCAAGAAAGCAGGCTCTGTGCTAAGAGGCACAGATTACGTGACAGTGAACAACTGCTGCTGTTTCCAGAGCCTCCTGGAACTTCTTGTGTGACCAGCTCCTCGGCAGTAAGACACGTGAGAGAGGGGGGTGATGAAACTGAACTCAGGCAAGATCTTTCCAGAGAGAAAACAGGGATCATGGGGCTGTCCAGGCAGGAATGAAGGTACTCTTGAGAGACACTTATGTTTCTCCTTTGGGATGGTTGGCTGAATATGGGGCTGTCAGTACCCAGCTTTGACCCCAGCTTACCTAACCATAATTGTGGTAGAGTGGCAATAAAAGCTGTCAGGGCTTCGGAAGGAAGATGAAGAAGTCCCTGATTCTAAGATTTGTTTGCCTTCACCAATGGCTGACAGTCAGACACTTCATCCCAAATGACAAAATCAAGGTTGCCTTCAAATACAGCATTCTCTTTCCCAGAGATATCTCAAAGATGCTAAGAGCAGCAAAGCCTGTGCTTACTTAGGGATACAGTGTCTGTGACTTTTGATTTTGCCCTCATTAGCACTCCTCTCTTCTTCCTCAGTGACACTCCTCAGAAGAGGACTTTGTAGTTTCATTTACAGAAGGAAATTCATTACAATAGGAGAAATAAGAAAATCAACTCAGGTAGATTTTACTTGATTTTAAAACCTTGGTTAAGTTAACAGCCTTGTTTTAAAAGTTTACAACTTTGTTTTATCTTTAACCAGGTTATATATTATATTCTTTGAACAGCATGTTTCCAAGAGCCACAAAAATCTCTCATGAATAGGCACACAGATAGAGACAGACACAAATATGCACACACACACACACACACACACACCACACACACACACACACACACACACACACACTCACACACACACACACTAGTTAGGGAGGGAAGCTAAGAACTATTCTAACTTTTGTTGTTGTTTTGATGCCTGGGTGTCTGTGTGTGTATAATCCTGTTGCTTTCTGCTGTACTCTCTTGAGACAGAGTGTCTGTCGAACTAACTCTGGAGTTAAACTCTCCAACATAGCTATTCATTAAGACACTTAGACATGAGTCTCCCTCTTGAAGAGCTTGCATTCATGTCTTAGGTCTGTACTGTCCTTTTAAGTCAGGGTTTCTCTATGTAGCCTTGGCTGTCCAGGAACTTGTTCTGTAGACCAGACAAGCCTTGAACTCACAGAGATATGCTTGACTCTGTCTCCCTCGTGTTGGGATTAAAGGTACATGACTGTATTGTCCTTTACTAAAGGTCTCCTTTTATAAACACCTGTGTTTAAATATTGTGTACTACCTTTTTATCACTACTTAATAAACTCACCAAGATTGTTCCATTCTGACTTGTCCCTAATTTAGTCATTCATTCATTCATTGTTCCTTTTAGAGACAAAGTCCCTCTATATAGTCCTGACATACCTAGATTATCACAATAATTCTGTCACTGGCCATTTTCTGCCTTGTCTGAGCCTGATTTGACACTGAAGTGGATCCCAACTGGAGGGATCATTATAAATCTTGTACGATCTAATCTTTTCTTAATATCTGTTTAATAATAACTCTTTGTAGCTGGTGAGATGGCTTAGTAGGTAAGAGGGTTTGTTGTGTAAGCATGAGAATCAGAGTTCAGATTCCAGTACGCACATAAAAAGCCAGGCATGGCTGCACATGCCTAGAACCCTAAACCAGTAGGGTGAGGGAAGTCTCTCTCTCTCTCTCTCTCTCTCTCTCTCTCTCTCTCTCTCTCTCACACACACACACACACACACACACACACACACACACACACGGGGGGGGGAGACCACATCCACATATACCCACAAAATAAATTAAGAATAAAAACAGTAAGTAACTTCTATTATCCTGAAATGAACAATCCTGGTATTCAGACCTGCCAAACATGAATTAACAATGTATTTATTAAATAATGCCCTCTGGTTTAAAAAAGAGGAGAAAAAGAAGGAGATTTTTGATAAGGTAATATTTATTTTTCTATCTGTAGGCTTGGCAAATTACACAGGAGGGGAAACATGCTCCCCTTCACGCTCCCAGATTTTTCAAACTTCTACCAGCAATAATATCTCAGCTGAGACACACTGCTCTGGAATTTCAGCACCGGTGGATGTGCTTCCCGGGGTCATCACTGCCACCTTTCAGTAGAGGTCATTACAATCTCGTCTGAAATAGCCCAGAACTCTAAACCTAGCCAGGAACTCGAAGCATGGGCATTGCAATAAAAATGATTGACTTGGGCCATGCTCTGCAGCAGCTGTGTGGCCCTATGATAGTGAACCTCTCTGTTCTCTATATTCTGATACATAAATTGGAGATATGACAGCACCTTTTCCCAGGCTTAGGACAATGTCTGAAAGTGGTAGATAGTTACTACAGTTAGTGTTTTGGGCTCCTTGCCAACGTTTCAACACTCAACTAATGCAGTTATCATCATTTCAATGATGCTGTCACTGTCAGGAATGTGGGGGGGGCATGTCTTCTCTTCATTGAGTAGCTCCCTGATAGCCACCTAAGGTGATTTTTCTTTTTTAATTAGGAGAGATTTTCTGAGTACATTTACCTGGCCATATCTTTCCTTTTCAGTGGAATAAGGTCTAAAGGACAAGGCTGAAGGCCATCCATGAAGCTTCCCATCAAGTGACCTTCCCAGTGTTCCTAAACCAGGAGCTCAGAGACTCCAGCGCTCTTTCAAGTGAGTCCTTATCAACCGTTGATACTAAAACAGCCTTTGTTTCCATTTTTAACCCTGCTATGCTGAGAGCCTCCCTTGGTTATCTCTCTAGGATGTGTTTCTTTATGCAAGTTAGAGTAGAGGGGCCTCCCTTTCTTAACATAAAGTCCTCAAATAAGAAACAGCATTTGACCTGCATTGTGATCCTGGTCTCAGTAATTCAGGAAAACTCTGTGATTCCTTATAACAATTATGGACCTCTGATTTGGTGCTTAGGCAGTGTGTAAGCCTGACAGTATCACCGTCATCAGTTGGAGGGTCTCAAAACAGTGGTGTGGTGGGGTGTGGGGACGAGCTTTGCTTGGATGTACAACATGTAGAGGGATCCTGGACTTGGGCAAACAACTAACTTTCACAAACCACCGACTCTCATGCAGTTGTTGAGACACCTGAACACACTCCATTCTCCACCCCCTGTGTCCCTCACATTTCCCCATCAGCTGATGCAAACGATGGATCCTGGGAGGGGTTTATAAGCTGTGTGTAGTGGGAAGGGTTGCCCCATTCTCTCCAGTTTGTGCTGAGGTTAGATACCTGAGTGAATCTTATGCTTGTTTATATGATACCCCCTAAGGGCCAAATAGATGAAAAACAGGCTTTCCCACCCCCCACTCCAGTATGATTTCTCGAGTTCCTTTTTCACAGCTCTAAGAATATCACACTACTTCGAGGCCTCAGGGTATCTGCCAGCTTCCCGCTGGGGGCTACTCTGTGATGTTTCAATCAAGGCAAAGCACAGAGGACAGGGAAAAGCAGGCACAAGCACGTTCTCACAATAAGTGCACACATACACCAGCATAAACCAGACTTCTCACGTTCATCTCCCAAAGCACCATTCTGAAACCCTCAAGAACACTCAGACAAAAGAACCTCAATCTCCAGTGTTTGATGTCTGGAATGTGTAAATCAGCATTAGATCGTTTATATATATTTGAAGTAAGCATACTTGGATACAATTTTTTTTTCATACAGATACATACAGCCAAAGGAGAGTGAGATGGTGTGCACAGCATGTGTGCATACATACATACGCACACTCTCCCTTCGAGTCCTGCCACAAATGTTATTGCGTTGATAGTCACAATTGCATGAGAGAAATATATAAACAGAGAATTAAATTTAATGTAAATTGTGCTTCATTTATTGGAAAGAGAAGGGAAGTGGGAAAGCAAGACTCCAGTGAGTTT